GCTTGTGCTCTCTCTCTCTCTGACAAATAAATAAAATCTTAAAAAAAAATTAAAAGAACCAGGCACATCCTCACAGTTGCAGATTCAATTCAGCTCTGTATTCATATTATTTCTGGAAAGTGAGAGAATCTTGTGGAACATTCCTGTCTCATCTTCAGCTGTGCTGTGCGGAATGAAGGAGACTCTTGTCCCACTCTTGTAATGGAGAGAGATAGAGAATAGCACTTGCTAGAGCCACCATGGTGATGGTGATAGCACTTAGGAAAAGATCACCTGGGGAAGGAGAATTTTGAAGACAGAGTTAATCAGGGCTACGAGTCTGGCAGTCCTTCCCTCTGACGGTGGGGTATCTCCCTCCATTGCCCTCTTTGGAGGATCATGGTGGTGTTTTGTTTTGTTTTTTGTTTTTGTTTTTGAGGAAGCTGGTGAATTTCTTTACAGATGGTAATGGCACTGAGGTTCTGGCTACTTTGGCTTAGGAGGAGCTCTAGGGCTCTTGTAGGGGAAGTGGAGGGTCTGGGGACTCCTGCAGAGACCAGTGCCTGTGGACTTAAGAGACCCTTGGATTTAGGCATGGGGAAGAAGTATGGCCAGAAATACAGGCTCTAGAGAGCAAAGTGATTCTGGTCACACTTGAAATGAGAGACAGCATTCTTCTCGCTTCTAGGTCTGAGAACATTTCCTAGTAGACAGCATCTGTCCAAACCCCCTGGGAAGGGAACATGGGACAGGTACGAGACACCCTACAGAAAGGGCAGGCAAGGTTGGCAGCAGAGGTCCCAAGTGGAGGGGGGAGACTAGCTCCTTGAGAAGGTGGTCAGGTCGTGGGTCTTCGGGTAGAAGAGGCCAGCTCCTGGGAGTGCTTTTGATGCCCTACTGCATGCACAGTTGTCCCGGTCACTGGAGTCACTGGGATCCCCACAGGAAAGTATGTCAGTGCAATGGCAGAGCCTTGGGAAGGCAAGCCTGCTGAACAAAGCTGCCCAATGCTCCTCCATAGATGACTGCCTCAATCTAAAGGTGGGATTCCGCTGCCTGGAATTCCACCAGAATATAAAACACCCTTTCTAGAAATGCAAACCAAAACCATAATGATGTATCACATCACACCTGTTAGAATGGCTATGATCTAAAAGACAAAAAACAAGTATTGATGAAGGTGTGGAGAAAACAGAACCTTTGTACACTGTTGGTGGGAATGTAAATTGGTAGAGCCACTATAAAAAGCCATGTAGGTTCCTCAAAATATTAAAAATAGAACCACCGGGGCGCCTGGGTGGCTCAGTCGGTTAAGCGGCTACCTTCGGCTCAGGTCATGATCCCAGGGTCCTGGGATCGAGCCCCGCATCGGGCTCCCTGCTCGGCGGGGAGCCTGCTTCTCCCTCTACATGCCAATGTCAGAAGAAACAGTCAAAAGAGT